CAATGTCCCCTCCACTTCCCCTTTCCTCATCCTGTCCTAGGGCTGCAAACGCTTGGCCCAGCCGTGGTCGGTGGAGGGGCATCTCCTCTACCCTAGGGGTGATGCTCTTGGGACCTACATGTGTTGTTCCTTGATATGTTAAAATAATTTAGAAAAGAGTTTCTCCTTGACAGATCCTGACTTTCAAGCCTGTCGTTTTGGTGGGAACCCAAATAAAAATCTAATCTGACCTTTAAAACCGAGAAGTGTCTTTGTTTTTACAAGATAGCTGCTTTTCACCCAGGCTCTGAAACTTGCTCTTTGAGTAGGTGGAAAGCCCCAGGGCAAAATGATTTATAAACTATGGCAACATCTCTGGGAAAGAAACAGCTTTACACTCTCCTCCTTACACCTCCCACTGCTGTCGCCATGCAGCTGGCAGCCTTTCCCTCCCCACGGCACTTCATCTCCTGGATTCCCAGAAAGATAAACTTCTGGAAATATCACCTAGAGAGAGACCCGGGTGCTGAGGCAGAGTCAGAAGTCTGATGTGCCAGCTGTAAGAACTAGGGATTATGTAATGATCATCAAGAGAAATGGAGTCTGAATACTTTGACTAGTGTTGTTAAGTGAATAACATTCTTCTTAGAGCATCTTGGAAATGTGGCCTCCCTTTGGCATGTTGGGATTGATGAAGCATTTATGTTAAGCCTAGTAATTGCCAAGAGAGGGAAAAAAGGGGGGAAATAACTGTAGGGAGATGTATCTCATGCATATAGTCTTGTAGCAATTGAAGTTTTCCAGAATCAGAATTTCTGATTTGCTATTGAAACATGCATCAAACACTATTAATAATATATAGCCCTTTCTTGAAGAGAACACTTTTTACAGCATCTAGAATCTGTTTGACATCTTGAAGTTTGTGATCACTGTTGTGGTGTGCACGGCGTGGTACTGTGTCTACAGCCAGTTTTGTGGATGTGATTGTCCTCTGTGGCGGAAATCCTTTTCAAACAGGAAAGTGATGATCAAGAAACAAAGGACTGGGCTTCCCTGGTGGCGCAGTGGTTGAGAGTCCGCCTGCCGATGCAGGGGACACGGGTTCGTGCCCCAGTCCGGGAGGATCCCACATGCCGCGGAGCGGCTGGGCCCGTGAGCCATGGCCGCTGAGCCTGCGCGTCTGGAGGCTGTGCTCCGCAACGGGAGAGGCCACAGCAGTGAGAGGCCCGCATACCCCCCTCAAAAAAAAGAAACAAAGGACTGAGTTGGCTTTTGGTGTGTGATAATTTATATGTCTTTAGCGGCTTGTGAGTTGTGAGTCCTTTCAGATCCACAAAAGTGAAGACTGGCCAGTCTAGAACCTGCCTTTCACGGCTCACTGATGCGTTCAGCCTGCTTCCCCCCTGGTGTCTGGGAGCCCTCTGGCTTGCTCTGACCTTGGACTCAGAGGGGAGCTGCGTCTCTCATTGACCCTCTGACCTGTGCCGTTGGGACAGAGGGAGCTGTGCCAGCCTGTGCTGGCTGCTTTGAGAGATCATTGTGTTCCTCTCCCTCGTTGTAAGCTGTCCTGGGACAGAACCCTTGGAGCCCCCTACATGCGGACTCTACTCTGAAACACCCAGCACTCTCTGGGCCACACCCCACTGGAGGACCCAGGAAATGCACCTTCACTGTTTATCTTAGTTTTCCTAGGGTGGCGGTTTCTGACCAGATGGGGAGTTGGGGGTGTGAAGCCCATGGTGATTCTTCATCCCGCTCAGGAAGGTGGCTGCCTTTGCCACCTGAGCCTGCGGCTGCCCCTGCTGTCAGCTCCACGTGGGATTCAGAACATTCTCCAGCCAGTTAAATGGGGATGTTTTGCCTGTGTGATTATTTTAGCAGTGCTGGCTACAACTAACCAGTAAGAATCACACACGTGAACCTTTTTTTTAGAAGTATTTTTCTTCTGTCAAAGATTCATCAAAAAGATGAATTGTTTAATATTTCGTTGTGTCCCATCATTGTCTGTATTCAGGTTGAAGTTTAGAAAGGATGTAAGTTGCAGTGATAACAGAATTTTATTGCTTAGCATCTCGATATTCTGATATCATTCCCTGACTTGGCAAATGCAAGATCCATTCACTGGAGCTTAACTTGATTTATTGACACCCATTCTTATATAGTTTAGAGAAGCGAATGCTTTTCCATTGAGAAAATCGGCAGCGTTGCGAATCCCATTCAGAGTTGAGTTGGAAAGATTGAAATTACTCAGATACCTCTAGAAAATTGTTAGTGGTGGTACATAGATTGGTTTGTAAATGTAGTGATGAGTCTCCTCTGTTTTCATGGACACGTAGTCTCTGGATGTGCAATCACATTTTAGAAGACAACTCTCTAAGAAATGGGATACTTTGGATGGAATCTGCTCCATGAAAATTTAACTATCAAAATAACCATTTTATATGAAAGATCATATATTTCAGAATTTTTTTGAGTACTACATGTAATTGTTGACACTTACTTGGGCCACCTTCTGGCATCACTTCTTGGCAGTAGGATGTACTCATTTCTGACCTATTTTTCCTGTCTTTTTTGTCCCTAGTCATGACCTGGAAGAAATTTTTTAAAGGTGTTTTTCCACAGTCTTTTGAATAATGAGGCAGTAGTGATTTTTCTCTGCAACTTGATGTATTCCTGACAGTAATATTTGGCCCTTTCTAAGCTTTAAGCATATATTTTGTTGATATGTTACATTTGACTTCAGGTTTATAAGAGAAATAAAATTCAGCACTGCCTACGGATTCATTATTTCTATTTTTGTGTAGTGGGGAGGGCTCACCCCCAGCCTCACCAAACCCCTCTAAGCGGCACTTGTCTGGTGGTAACTCTCCACCATACACATTAACCGCTATGCCAGTGGGGACCGCAGGAACTGTCACTTATTATTCTATTTTAACGGTTCCTGGTTTTCATTCTGTTCACTTGTATTCCCCCAGATTGCTAGGAAATAATTAATGCCACCCACCCCACTAAAATAACCACCCTTGACAGCAGAAATCTGATTTTACTACCACATGAATTTATCGGGGATAAAAATAGCACTTAATAATGGTTTTTAAGTCTTTTCTAACTTAAGGCATTTAAAATTCTGAACCATAAGAAAATTGCTCTCCCAGTCAACTCAGTGGGTGGACAGTATGATATGTTAAGAGTTAAGTTTAACTCTACAAGCTTGATTATCAATTAACTTAAAAATAACATGTTAAGTAGTTTAAAACATTTCTTTCCCTACTACTTTTAGTATTAGTCACATCTTTAGGGCTAACTCTTATAGATTTTTATGTGCAGATTTTATACAGGAAGTCCTTTATCTACTTATGGAAATCTTGAAGTATTTTCTTTGAAACCAATGTTGATTATTCTAGTTTTCTTTATAATTATTAAACTCCTATACCAGAGAGAGATTAAATGGAGTGATACCATCATTTATGTCATTATATGGCACAAAATAATTTTAGCTTTGAATAATCACTTATCTGGTGCCAAAAGCCAAAAGCCAAAAAAATTTTAAAAAATAATCTGTCTTTGTGAATAGAGATAGCTGTTTTGAGTATTTAGCTAAATGTAACCAAGATGGAAGTTACTCATTTTTAGCTGACTTCCTAAAACTAACGTCTAGCTATGTTATAAGTCTGTGAAAGTCTTTGACCAATGTTACAGTTCTCTGTGGCCAAATTTCTCCTTCGTTTACATATAACATACGTTTATGCTTTTAAAATACCAACCGCACTTGATTTTTCATGTTCTGTTCTAAAATGTGCATGTAGCATGTCAAACTATATTCTCTGGAATACTTTTAGTCCAGTTTCACCAAGTGATGCATGGTGTGGCATTTTAGAGCAGGGTCAGGCAACGCTGGCCTGTGGGCCTGGCCGGCACCACCCATTTGTGTACGGGCTGCAGGCTTAAAATGGTATTTACATATTAAATGGTCGAAAAAAAAAAAATTCAGGACATGTAAAAATCATATGAAATTCAAGCCTCTGTGTCCATAAGGAAATTTTGTTAGAGCACGCATTCTCTGTGTCTGCTTTCACATTGTGACGGCAGTCGCCTAAAATATTTACTGTCTGCTCCTTCACAGGAAAAGTTTGCCAACCCCTCAAAAAGAGGATCACAGAAAAAGTCCTTAGGGTGTTTTGATGCCCTGGTTTCCAGATTCACTTTGGCCAGCTTAAATCATGACTTTAAAGGTTTTCTTTCTTCTTGTTTTTTAAATAATGTACTTAGTGCGATTTGAATGTAGATCCATAGAACATCATTTTACTCTGTTACCCCAGTAGGAGGAGGGCCCCTGAGTTCTGTCCCGGAAGAGGCAGTGGACCCCTGAAGAAGTAAAACTACTTGTTAGTGTTTGACGGTCAGAACTATAAACACCAGAGGCGGGAACTAGGAAAGGAAAGCCTGTGAAAATTCCAGTTTGCTTACGGTGCCCACGAGGACAGCGTGCTATTGCAGCAAAAAAATGGTGACAGTCGACCAGAATCTTGTGTTATAATCCAGTAAAATTTGTAACTAACTTTAGTTCACATGTATTTAGCGAGATGTATAATCATGATTGCGCTGCTTGGTAATGAGGCACGACAAACGAGCCGTCTAAGGATTGAGTTTAAGCCATGCTCAGGTCAAGCATTTCTTGTTAGGGGAGGGGGAAGGGAGGGCAGAGAAAGGGGAATTGGGTGGAGCGGGTGGGCAGGCTCTGCATCTCTTCTGAAAACCCCTAGTTTCCTCTCACCTTCCCCTAAGGCGGGAAGGAGGGCTTTCTCTAGAATTATAAAATCCAGGCAGTACTAACCACATTCTATTTAAAGCTCTCTCCACCTCCACCTAGAGGTGAAGCCCCAACCCAGACCCTCTCCCACGGTGGCTGGGGGTGGGACTGGAGGGTCTTTGCTGCTTTCTTACACTCATCACAACCTGTAATTATACATTCGTTGGTTTGATTCCTTTTCTTAAGGTACCTCTCTCTCTCTCTCCCCCAGATCTGAACCCCCGGGTGGCTGCGACCCTGTGTGTCCCGCTCATCACTGTGTTCTCACGACGGAGCCTGCCACAGGGCAGGCACTCAAAATATATTTATGAACGAATGAGTGAATGAATGAATGAGTGAAAGAAAATGCCCTTGATCTAGAGGACACAGATATCAGGTGTCCTTCCCGCCCTACATCTAGGTCCCGGAGTACCTACATTTCCCTGAACTTGGCTCATTTACGCGTGCACGGAAAGCCTTTCTTGGGAGCGTTAGGTTTGGGGCTGGTGACGGCTAGAGGGTGGAGTGACTGTCCTTCCAGTCTCAGTACCAGAGGGTCTCACCGTGTCCGTCCTAAGGTGGTAAGTGGCACCTGTGCCGGTCCAGGAAGAGGAGGTTCCTGGACAGCTCCAGATGCCTGTGCGAAGGGCAGGGCCTGAGGCAGGAGGCCAGGCCTGGGACAGCTGGGAGGAAGGAAGCTATGAGCGTCTCAGGTCCCCAGACCATTTACCTCTTATTCAGATCCTCAGTCTTCCCTGCCCTTTACCAGAGGGTTCTTTGCCCTGTCTGCAATGCCCTACTCTTAAAGATTCATGGGTCCTAAGGAGGACACACCCCTAGGGTTGAGGAATGAAGGGGAGAGGAGGCCAGACAGGAGAGCTGCTTGATTCAGCAAAGGCCGCTGAGATGGGAACATGGCTTCTATACGAAGAGCGTTTCATGCTTTTCCAAAGCATGCTGAGAAGTTGAGTGCCACGTGAGGTAGCAGGTGGGCATGGGCTCCTGGTGGGCCAAACGAGAAGTCCCTGAATGCCAGACCGCCACCGTCCCTCAGTTGTCACACCCCTCATCCCGACGCTCGCGGGCCCTGCTGGGTACCACACTGCTGTGCTCCCGGGGAAGGAAACCCGGACCCCGCACGCAGTATCCGCGGGCTGTGAGTCCACCTTGGCTAGGCTTTGTGCTGGTCCTTCTCTCACCTGCGTTGTGAGCTGATTCCCAGGGCACAGGACATGTGCCCTGGTGTGTTCTGCCAAGGACACATCTCCGTGAGTGCAGTTGTAAGTTCACACAGCCCTGGGCAGGTGGGCATGGGTGTGAACACGTGTGTACAAGATCGTTCTTGCACAGAGACGCTGGGACTAGCAATTGGGGGAGGAAGGGGGACCCTGCCTGCACCCTGGAAGTAGGTGAGTGGGGGCTTGGGGGATGGTGGTGCCAGCAAAGAATATGAGCCCTGAGCGTGAGAAGTCCCTGCTCTGGTGCGCACTCTGTGACCGGGCACGTCGCCTCTTCATCTGTAGAACGGGCAGGGTCTCACCGCCTCCCAGGGGGTGAGATCACATGTAAGTAGCCCAGGGCATGGGAAATTCTCAAAACACGGTACTCATTATCATGTCAGTATGAGTTCAAAGGCTAGAAACAAGCAGCTCTTGATGCTCTAAGACTTCTCTGTGTGTATATCTTAGCATCACTTGAACTTCACCGTAGCAGCTTTGCTGTATATGGAGACGTGGTTACTCCGTTTCATAAAGGCAGGTTTAAAGTTGCAAAGTGAAAAGCAGAAGGTTAGGTTTCCCACCACCTTGCGTGGGGAGTTGCCTCTCTACTCAGAAAGGGGAAGATGCAGGAGCCTGTGAGTTCTGTTGTTGACACCAGAAAGGCCGTAAATATTGTAGTAGCTGGTCGAGTGGTTCTTGCCCCCCTCCTAGCTCTGCTGTTCCAGAGTACTGCAGACTCTTTACTGGGCTCAAAAATAATGCTCTTTAGTACAGAGAAGTCTCCAATTGCTTTCCTCTATTAACTAACATCTAGACTTAGCTATCACAGACCTGAGAGAAACTAATGACACCTTACAGTAAGACTATGGTTGAATTACTGTCTGTTAATTAGGAGTTTGAAAATCACCTTGATCCCCTTGGAGAAAAACCTTGATATAAGTAGATGGTAATAAAAGTGGAACTGTGTTTAATTCAAACTGTATCTTTTGAAATTTAATTAATTTCGTAATAACAGTTTTATTTATTTTTATTTTTTTTAAAAAATTCTTGGCTGCACCCCGAGGCATGTGGGATCTTTGTTCCCTGAGCAGGGGTCAAACCCACGCCCCCTGCATTGAAAGGCAGAGTCTTAACCACTGGACCACCAGGGCAGTCCCTCATAATAATAGTTTTAAATGAGCATGTCAGAACTCTAAATGGTCCTTGGTCTCTTGAAAGAGTTATGTAGCATCCAGAGGTTCCTAATACAGTCTCCGGAAGTAGCTTGCTCACTGAGTAGTTGGCTTTAACGAGCTCGAGTTCCCCTTTTCTCCTGCAGGGAAGACTTAGGCCAGGTTTTATTTATTTATTTATTTATTGGCGGTACGCGGGCCTCTCACTGTTGTGGCCTCTCCCGTTGCGGAGCACAGGCTCCGGACGCGCAGGCTCAGCGGCCATGGCTCACGGGCCCAGCCGCTCCGCGGCACGTGGGATCCTCCCGGACCGGGGCACGAACCCGTGTCCCCTGCATCGGCAGGCGGACTCCCAACCACTGCGCCACCAGGGAAGCCCTTAGGCCAGGTTTTAAACCAGTCTCATCAGTTCTTTGGAGACACTCCCCTCCATCAAAGATGTAGCCTCTGCACTCAAATTCTTTAAAACTTCGAAGACTGGGGAAGTCACAGTGGTGCCCTGCCCCGCCTTTCCCTCCTCCCAGACATTTACTGGAAGCAGAAGCAAGTGGCCGGCTGTAGACTGCATCCCTACTGGACACCCTGGCTGCCTCCTGGCCTAGTGGAAAGCTCCTTTCCCAGCTGCTAAGCCCCTCCCGTACTCATATCCTTTCCTGCCGTCATGGCCGCAGAGGGTATTTGAGCACAAGGTGCACTTAAATTTCATGCTCAGATGGTACGAGGGTGTCACGTAAGCACATCGCTACTATAGTTGAGAAAATCGGAGAAGTGTTTTACAGCGTTGAGAGGCTGCCTGTGACCAAGGGCCCTGGGGAGGATGGGGTATGCGTGCACCCGTGAGGTCACCGTGGTGCAGCATGATTCATCTTGTGCTATAAAGTAGCCTGTTTAGCATGAGAATGTGGACTAAGGCTTCCCACAGTAAAATCATGTGCAAAATGACATGTAACATCCCGAGTTCTTCCCTAAGGAAACTTCTGATGGTGTGAGGTTGGTCATAAAACGGAGAAATAAGAGGCTTATTATCATTTGAGTGCGTGTGAACTTACTATATACGTGCTGTCTACACAGAAAAAAGCACAGCATGAGGTGAAGTGGTAGGAGTTATTACATAGTTTTTCTGGATAGTTTTATAGTTACGTTGGAATTCCTTTTTAGGGTAGCTTGGGTTCTGTTTTGTTGCTCAATTTTCAACAGTTTTCGTTTTCTCTGAGTATCGTATCACACGGCAGCAGAAGCAGTACAAGATGAAAACCAAAATTCTTTTCGACTTGTTGACATTCTGTGTACTTCTGAAACTAAACCTATGCAGAACATTTAAAACTTTGCCAACAACTCATGGTAGAATAAACATTTAAAACCTGTACATTGAGTTCGTAACTCATCTCTTGGTTTATTGGAACTCCCAGCTTTTCCAGAGCCCTTTTCTGTTTTCCCTGTGCTATTCTGCACTGCTGAGCTTCACCAGCCCTGACCTATTTAAATATATTTGGGAACATGGAGACTTCTAGTAATCTAAGTCTCAATTAATCTAGAAATATGAGTGACTTCCTTTCACGTAAAGGTTTGGTTGTGGCTTTATAGTTTATTAACTTGTCTGCATAAAATAAAAATTTCTTATCTGATTTGAAGGATGGTTTTCAATAAGGTAGATCACCCTTGTGCATTCACTGTTTTAATTCCTCTAAGCTCTGGCTCTGTGATTTTATTGTTCTTTTTTCTTTTATTCCTCTATATAGTGCTTTTTTTCACCCCGCCTTAATTTCCTCTTTATGGTGTTTTCTCTGTCTTTGCTCCTTTCTGCTCTCCTTCAGCCTACAAATGTGTATTACTAAGGACTTCTAGTGGCTAATGCTGGAAGTGCCTCTCAGAAATACCCACAATGTAAACGTTTGGTCCATCCCAAGTGCACTAGGCACCAAAGCAACTAGGAGAAAAGAAAGCACCTAGAGCAATAAACTGGTTGTTTTGACTACATGATACTGTTTATTTCCATGAATTTTATACTGAATCCAAATTGCTATTTAGATGAGTACAGGCAAAACCTGTATTACTCTGTGTATAATAAGCATAATGTCTCTTTGCTTTTGTATTGACATGGTAATTCACTTCAGGAACTACTGTTTAGTTAAAACTTGAAGTTTAATCTGTGAAATGCAGCCCTTTCTAAGTGTGTGAATATGGTTATATATTGATTTAGAGTGAGAAGGGGTAGATGGAGACATTGACTGTGGTAGGAGAGGCTTTTCATCATGTGAAAATTCAGCTAGATACTTACAGGTGAAATGGGATCTCAGTTTACGGGGTTTGATCTGAAATACAGTGCATGAAGATTCAGCGTACAGCTCAGATAAAAGGTAAGTAACAGGAGAGCTACGTGCCTCACCCTTAGGTACATACCACCCTAGCTTTGCAGTGAACTTTATGAGGAATCAGAGCATGTTGAAAAGCTAGAGAATTCTTGGCTTCCTGAATGTGGACTCTGGGTCACTCTTAGCTCATAATTTGCTCCAGATTTACACAGCACTTGGCATCTCTTCTCTGGCAAGGAATGATTGTTAAAATAGTTGAATACAGTGTGGAGGAGGTCTCATATGATGCCAAAAGCATACTTCAGTTGACTATGATAGATACTGAGAGTTTAACTTTACTTCACAAGAAAATTGCGTAGATCTTGAAATACTCTCCCTTTTATAGTCAGTTATAACACTTGTTTTGAACATGCAAATTTATTTGCATGTGATCAATACAGTAAGGGATAATTTTAACTGAACGCGGATTTTGTGTTTACCTGTGCACGGTTTTGACGGCAAGAAACACTAGCGAGCGCAGAGCACTGCACCTGGGTGAATTGAAGGTACACACCCACCTCACACACCCACCAGCTGCTACATCAGATCACCGGGTGTGTCCTGCACTGCGCCCTCCGCATCTCAGTTATAACCTCTCACCAGACATCAGACCCCCTCCTTCCATCACTCACAGTAACTCAAGAGCTGCAGCCCTTCCCTCCAGGTCTTTTTCAAGGTCAGGTGCCACACGCCACGCTCACTGCTGCGTTTTTGCGTTCCTTAACTACGTAACATGTGCAGGACTGTGCTATCACTTGTATTCTGCTCCTGCCTTTTGTAATGTGTCACGGCAGAATTTCTGAGTGTTGTGCCCTGACCCAATTTTCCCCACAAACCTTGTGTTTTTTATCACGCAGGTTTTTTTATAGTGCGGTGATTTTTAGGAATATGTCTGTCACACAGCAGAACTGTCAGTACTGCCATCTTATTGTCCAGAGTTACCAAATGACCGAGTACGGAGCTCCTAACACTGTAGACCTTCCAGAAACTCTCCTCCCACCCCTGGAAATGTTCAACATCCTTGTTCTGTCCCTGCCCCTCTGACCACTCCTTCTGTGTCTCTTACACAGCTTCCCTCTGCTTATTATTATCTGCAGTGTTGCTGTGATGTTTTCATCTCATTTAGCTTTAAAATTCCTCCCTCAGAGATGTAGACATTCTTTCATCTCAGCTGCTACCTTGGTGCAGAAAACTTCCGATTTTCCAGCCCTAGAACCAAGCTTTCCCACGGTTTCTAGCTGCTGCTACAGATCCTCAAAAGACTGCCCCGTTCACTGCCAACTCCTCTGCTCAGCTGGGGCGGAACTCCACTTCCGGGATGAGTTAACACCTTAGAGACACAGTGTAAACCTGGAAAAGCTTTGCAGCGGTCGGGTGCGGCACAGCCTCCTCGTCTGTCCGGTTTACCCTCTTTGTCTTTGGCTCTTCCTTCTGTGCCCACAGCACATCAGTCACCGGGTCCTGCTCTGTCCTTCCCGATGTACCCTCTCTAGCCCATCTCTCTTTCCCAGCCGCCCTGCGTCCTGCCCCCCTTTCATACCCCCATCCCCCATTCCTTCCTTACTCTTTGTTCAGAGCCTGAAATTCTACCTTGATCACAGCACATCTCAGCTTAAAATCGTAATTCCGGGGGCTTCCCTGGTGGCGCAGTGGTTGGGAGTCCGCCTGCCAATGCAGGGGACACGGGTTCGCGCCCCGGTCTGGGAAGATCCCACATGCCGCGGAGCGGCTGGGCCCGTGAGCCATGGTCGCTGAGCCTGCGCGTCCGGAGCCTGTGCTCCACAACGGGAGAGGCCACAGCAGTGAGAGGCCTGCGTATCGGAAAAAAAAAAAAATCGTAATTCTGTATCGCATCCAATCTGGCCCTTTTCTAGCCACGTTCCCTACTTTCCTCTAACGCAAGTGGAAATGTCTAGAGAGCCTAACGATACTGCACATGGATCTCTGTCCTGGCGCCTGCCATCACACCCGCAAGGGGGTCGGTATGTGGCAGCGGCCACGTACACTCCTCTCTACGTATTCATTAACAATCCAGTAGTGTTTTCTAAATGGCAGAGTTCTTTCCTTTTTTGAAAAAATGTTATGTTTTAACTGAAGTGTAGCTGGTTTACAATGTTATGTTAGTTTCAGGTGTACAGCAAAGTGATTCAGTTATACGTATATATGCTGTATATATATTCTTTTTCATATTCTCTTCCATTATAAATTATTATAAGATATTGAGTGTAGTTCCCTGTGCTGTACAGTAGGTTCTTGTTTATCTATTTTATACATAGTAGTGTATGTATATTAACCCCAAACTCCTAATTTATCCCTCTGCCCTTTCCCCTTTGGTAACCATAAGTTTGTTTTCTGTCTTTGGGTCTATTTCTGTTGTGTATATAAGTTCATTTGTATCATTTATTTTTTAGATTCCACATATAAGTGATATCATTTGATATTTGCCTGGCAGAGTTATTTCTCTCATTTTTCTATTTTATAGGTTGTTTTTCTGTAATTTTCTATAATTTGCAT